TTTTTTCCATCATCATCGGAGAAGATTTTAGAAATTCAGTTCTTTTTTTTTGGCTTCCTTATATTTTATATTTTACTAACAGTTTTATCCTGTATTTTTATTTTTCATTGATGTTTGGTCAACTTGTAAAGCTGTTCGGTCAACTTCATGTGTTTTTTATTAGCTATATAAATTAAGTGAATATCAATAATCAATATTAAGGTTAATTAATCTTGGCATCATGGTCCAGGTGTGAAAATCAACAGCAAAACAAATCTCTGCTTTTGGTATTTGGAGCAGAAATCAAACTAGTATTGAATGTTTTACCCTATATTGGAAATTGCATCTAGATTTGTTTGTGATTATGATATAATACACACTGATGATGGAAACAATGACTGTTTAAAATCTATTGTAGCTTTACCAAGAAGTTTGCTTGTCTTGGTTATAATTTCATTAAAATACCTGACATTTACTACTTGATAATGACCCTTTCAACAGAAACAGAGGTGAGAAAAGTTTTTGGCCCATTTCCTGATTTGTTTGTTAAACCCTTAAGTGACCCGTAAATGACAATATTTATTCAGCGAGAAACAAAATATGCAATGATAATATTAGTTAGTCTGGTATCTGACCACCACTAGCAATCCCCATTAGCTTTCTGTATCTATGGTTATTGGACATGAGATCAATTAAAAATCAAACAACCTGATTGATTTTTTTTTCTTTTTTTTAACAACATATCAAATGGATAATGTCATATTAAGGTGAGGAATAGCCCTGCTTAGGGGATCTGAGTGTTTCTTTTCCTGATTTAACCTTGTTTTTTTTTTTTTTTCTTTCTACTGTTGCCCACAGTCTTATATGACTTCTAGAAAACAGCCAAGCTTATTGCCTTAAATTAGTCATTATTGCAGCATCTGTCACAGGATATGGTTTGATTTATTAACGTAATTTCTCTCAAAGTAGTTTGAGGTGTGACATACTGTGTAATTTATGTAGTCTTACAGTATGTTTGCACAGTAAACTTCTATAGATTAAGCGGAAGTTCAACAGTGGAAACTAAATAACCCACCCTCATCAGAGACTCACCTGCCTCTGATGCAAACCAATCAGCTTTGAGCTGCACCTCCACAAAGCCCAATCAGCATCCACAGTTCATCTTAAAAGGTCATCAAATCCACGACTCATCTATCTCCACTCCACTACCACATTCAGGCCTTGGGGGGAAACATTGCTGTTCTCATAGACCTGCTTATGCATATTAAAGTAAAAATCAGCGCTAATTTTTTCCTGCCGAGGTCTGAGCGCCAAAGTCTTAAGATAATTGTATCAATAAAATTCTTCTAATTGTTTTGTTTGCGTTTGAGTTTTTCAGATTGAAATGCCAGCAGTATCAGGAAATTCATTTTGTAGATTTGCAGCTTTGACTGTAGTGAAAACATCTTATTTCTGAAATGCTTTTACCAATCAGTTTTCTGTGTAGAGCTAAAAGCAATGATGCACAAATGTACATAATGATGAAATATGGAAAGCGATTGTGGCTTTGTGTTGGTGCGACATGAAGCAGTTTTTGCTTTGCTGATCTGGAAATAGTTTCTTCCCTGCAGAAGCTTGTCCTGCTCCAGCTGCTCGCACTGCCATGAGGGACACATTTCATTCTGCATGGGGGTGTTTTTCTTTCTCTATTCATAAATCAATTTTTGTTGGTTTAATTAATCATAATAGGTTCTAATATTATTAACCATTTTGGACATTTGCACTTGTTTCTTTTTCTGTGTATTTATTTGTGAAACTAATTGTACCTAGCAGTATAACAGATCTATACAGTAGCAGCCATTCAAAATGGCCCTTTCCAGTCAAACGCCAGCCAAATGACGGCCCACTTCCCTGCAACTCCCATCAAAATCCCCTCCAACTTCCAGCCTCTGGCCTCCTCCTGGGCGTGCACATTTTTTTACTCTGATTCCACCCTTTCACCAAATTACAGGATCTGACCAGGATATGATGCTTCTCTTTAGAACTTAATGTCCATAAATCATGACAGAATATTTTAGAACAAAGACCGATGTTTAAAAAGGAATTGTAGGGGACCAGTCAAGGACCAACCAAGGACCCATCAAGGAAAGTGTGGACATTTTCAATGGCTACTACTGTACTTATAGATCAATCCTCTGTCTGTTTTTAGTGCCTTTTAATTCGTCCCCCCATCAAAGTTGAAAAACACAGTTAAAAGGTCAATAAAAGTTAATTTACAAAATTTTAAATAAAATATTGATTGTATCTTGTCATAAATAGCACGAAGGAATTTAATTGACCCCAAGCCTGCTAACAATTTTATTGCCCTAATCTACTAAAGATTTTAGTTCTTTTTAACAAAATGACCAGCCTAAGTCTGTCGGTGGAAACATGTTTTAGTCTACGTGGTGACATCAGATCCAGTGCAAGATGGCACGCTGCACCTTTGTGATGGTATAAAGAGCCTAGTTGCAGCTCATTTCCACGTTAATAAACCACTATGTTGTGTAGTTTGGGGTCCAAGGATGTTTAAACAAAGCTGATAAAACAGAAAGGGAAAGTTTTAAGCCTAGTCTTAAAGACTAAAACTGGTAGTTGGTTCCACAGGAGAAGAAATTGATAATTAAAAGATCTGCCTCCCATTCCACTCTTAGAAATTCTGAGAACCATCCTATTCTTAATTTTATTAGTCATCTTTTTCATGTTCACTGGATGTCCATTTCTGTGGATGTGGCACCTATTCTCTTTATCTGTGTCGTTTGTTTAATTTCCTTTGTACATTTTTCCGTTATTTTTTATAAACGGAATACTTAAAAAAAAAAAAAAAAAAAAAAAAAAATATATATATATATATATATATATATATATACACTCATCGGCAACTTTATTAGGTACCCCATGCTAGTAATGGGTTGGACCCCCTTTTGCCTTCAGAACTGCCTCAATTCTTCGTGGCATAGATTCAACAAGGTGCTGGAAGCATACCTCAGGGAGTTTGGTCCATATTGACATGTTGGCATCACGCAGTTGCCGCAGATTTGTCGGCTGCACATCCATGATGCGAATCTCTCGTTCCACCACATCCCAAAGATGCTCTATTGGATTGAGATCTGGTGACTGTGGAGGCCATTTGAGTACAGTGAACTCATTGTCATGTTCAAGAAACCAGTCTGAGATGATTCCAGCTTTATAACATGGCACATTATCCTGCTGAAAGTAGCCATCAGAAGTTGGGTACATTATGGTCATAAAGGGATGGACATGGTCAGCAACAATACTCAGGTAGGCTGTGGCGTTGTAACGATGTTCAATTGGTACCAAGGGGCCCAAAGAGTGCCAAGAAAATATTCCCCACACCATGACACCACCACCACCAGCCTGAACCGTTGATACAAGGCAGGATGGATCCATGCTTTCATGTTGTAGACGCCAAATTCTGACCCTACCATCCGAATGTTGCAGCGGAAATCGAGACTCATCAGACCAGGCAACGTTTTTCCAATCTTCTATTGTCCAATTTCGATGAGCTTGTGCAAATTATAGCCTCAGTTTCCTGTTCTTAGCTGAAAGGAGTGGCACCCGGTGTGGTCTTCTGCTGCTGTAGCCCATCTGCCTCAAAGTTCGACGTACTGTGCGTTCAGAGATGCTCTTCTGCCCACCTTAGTTGTAACGGGTGGTTATTTGAGTCACTGTTGCCCTTCTATCAGCTCGAACCAGTCTGGCCATTCTCCTCTGACCTCTGGCATCAACAAGGCATTTCCACCCACAGAACTGCCGCTCACTGGATGTTTTTTCTTTTTCGGACCATTCTCTGTAAACCCTAGAGATGGTTGTGCGTGAAAATCCCAGTAGATCAGCAGTTTCTGAAATACTCAGACCAGCTGTTCTGGCACCAACAATCATGCCACGTTCAAAGTCACTCAAATCACCTTTCTTCCCCATACTGATGCTCGGTTTGAACTGCAGGAGATTGTCTTGACCATGTCTACATGCCTAAATGCACTGAGTTGCCGCCATGTGATTGGCTGCTTAGAAATCAAGTGTTAACGAGCAGTTGGACAGGTGTACCTAATAAAGTGGCCGGTGAGTGTATATATAGAGAGAGAGGGGTATGGATTCAAGATAAACACTCCATAACTGTCTGATGTTTGTGAAATGTTATTTTTGTAAGATTATTAGATAATTTCCTAAATATTTGACAGAGACTGCGATATTAAGAGTTCTCAAACATATTTAAACTTATTCAAATTTTTTTAGACAGCAACTACAGACCTTATTTGCAGTTTTTTTTTTATTTTATGGTCCATCTGGATCAGATTTCCCTCTAGAGAATAAAAATGTTACTCATCTTTTGAGAAACAGCTCAACTCAGTGGGATTGGACGATGAACACCTTTGAACAGAAATTTGAAGTCTTCCCACAGATTCTGTTTGCGATTTAGGTTTGGACTCGACCTAGGTCAATCCATCGGTGATATGCTTTGATCTACATCATTCCATTTTAGCTCAGGCTGTATGTTTAGGGTTTTTGTCCTGCTTAAAGCAGTAGCTCTGCTCCAGTCTCAGATTTAGTGTAGCTTCTAACAGGGGATTTCTCTTGGCTTACTAGTATTTAGTTCTATCTTTTATCTCATCATCTAAAGAAAACCTTCTTCAAAGCTTTATGTTGCAACCACCATTCTTCACAATGTATGATGTATCCAAGGCATTACTCTTTGCTGTTCTTCAAATGAAATCCCAATGAAATATATTATAGGTTGAAGTTGTAATATAAAATATGCAAAAAGTTCAAGTGGTATTAATACTTTTGATATTAATAAACAAACTGTTAGCTGAAATAAGATTAATACCATGCAAAACAGACTCTAGCCGTGCTGGAAATGGATGACATATTTTTGACAGCATTGATAGTTGCATTTTGTGCGTAAAAAACCAAACAAAAAAATGTCAAATAAATCTGTTTTTTTTTAAAGAAATCTAACTGAATCGTTCTTGTCAATTTAGGTGCTACCTGTTGGATGGGATCTCTAAAGGAGCCTGGCTGAACCGCTCAAGCATCATTTTTGCAGGGGATGACAAGTGGTCCGTGGACCCACGCGTATCCATAGTGTCCAGTGTTGGAGACAAACATGAGTACAGCCTTCAGATACAGAAGGTGGACGTAACCGATGACGGGCAATACACGTGTTCGATTCAGAGCGAACGCAACCCACGGCCGAAGCTCCTCAACCTCATCGTAAAAGGTAGGACACTGTGTTTTTCTGCTGCTGTCAGTAAGCTTGCATTTCCTTCTAGACCTGCATTTTAGAAATTCAAATGTGTGGCGTGTCTTTCAATCTTGTTTGTTTGATGTTTAAAGAAAAAGCTCTTTTTTATTATTCCTGCTCTGTGTCCCTTTTATACTCTGACACTTTATGTGTTGAATAGAAGAGCAGTAGCTAAGAAAGTGAAAGCAAACTGACACCGTGCCTTTAGGCTACACAATATAGAGGAGAGGCTTGTTGATTTAAATGGCTGCAGGCAGTCTGCAGCTTTAATCAGGCCTCCCTGGTTTTTGTCACATCAGGCATGTCAGAAAGATGTGATTCATATGACTTCAAACCTGTGTTGCACTATCATTGACATGCTATAAACAGTGTTATGACTGAGTTTGTGAGTCAGTTCAGAACACTTTAAGCTAAAATCCATGAAAATCAATCTTAAGCCTCGGCCTGTCTCTTTAAAAGGTTGATTTTTTTTCTTCCTTTTATAGATTTTCTGACAATCTGTCTAAAGGAAACACTTTTTTTAGGTCCCACTGTTTATTTCACAGCACATGAACATGAGATGTGTTTCGTTTTTTCACTGTATATTTGGATGACAGAGATTCACTACTCTGGAGCTGGAGTTAAACTTTATCTACTCAAAGCAACACTTTAAGTTACTCTCCGAAGAAACACAATATTAGAGAAACACTATTATTCCAAGGACGATGGTTGGAGTTTGCATCTTATGGAAGTGTCGTCACTGTTCTGTAATGTAAACATGTCCAGCTGGTTGCTCGGTTGCAACATTGTGAAAGCTATCTCAGCTGTTTAATCTAGCAGCTTGCCTTGCTTTGTGTGAATCTTAATTTTTTTGTATTTTCATCTTTGAGAAATTGCCTCATTTAAATGGAAGGCTGTACAGCAATAAAGCTTGCGAGGTTGCTAATCTCATTTGGTATCAGTGTAATTTGCAAAACAAGTCATCTTTCTTCTGAGGTACTTTAAACAAATAGAAGGCCGAGAACAAGTAGAAAGCTGAATGCATTCCTACTTTTTCATGTTGCTTCTTATCCTGAGCTCCACCTGCATCCGTCAGCTAACTTTTAAGCTGCTGACAGTTGAAGTGAAAACCTTTAATCATCTTTTCGATGGAAATGTTCTCGTTGATCTTGGCATCCGTGTGGATTATACAATGAGTCACAACTGACACGAGATCAAGCACAATCTCACTCAGATGGCAGTGGCCTGTCCCAGCAGGTCAATGCATCCTGCCACATCACTGAAACCAACATGGAATGGCTCAAAGAACATGAAGGGTTTCTGGCGGGAACATGCCCAGATTCCTGCAGACAGCACCTCACATCCCACACAACCCAATGGAATGAAATTTATTTACAGTATAAAGTAGATTTGATCTGTTTTGTGCAAAAGCTAGTTTGGGTTGAAAGTTGATATTTTGTTAAAGTAAAATGAACGTTAAGCTAAAATACTAAAATTGTCAAATGTGAGGGATTGCTATGAAGTTAGAAAGAAGTCTGGTGATTTTATAAGAAAAACATGTGTTTTAACTGATCATCCATCCATCCATCCATCCATCCATCCATCCATCCATCCATCCATCCATCCATCCATCCATCCATCCATCCATCCATCCATCCATCCATCCATCCATCCATCCATCCATCCATCCATCCATCCATCCATCCATCCTGGCAAAAGTAGTTTTTATTTTTTTGGCCAAGCTGATGCAATAGAGGTTTTTCTTTTTTGAGCAACCATCTCAGATGTTTGCCTTATGAGCATTATATAGTTATGTACAAGTCTGTTAGATTTAAGCACGTTTTGATTTAATCATGCAAAATGTAGAATTTTGATGAGGAATTTAGGAAAGAGAAAAAAAAGCCATTTTCAAACATGTTCTGCATTCTAGCAAAAGTTAGTCAAGCAGAGAATATTTCTCTGTGTTTCTTGTTGTGGTCTGGTGGTGTACCAGTGCCTCAGAAGCTAAAGCAGAGCTCTAATTTCACCCGTTGGCTCTTTGGAGCGCCGCTCTGACTTTGCTGCTATAGTGGCCTCTGTTGAAACATCAGACCAAAAGTGGGCGAGCGAGTATGTGCCAAAGCCAATAACATTTAACCTGCCACTGCCGGGCTTAACAGGGATTTGATTGGGGGTCCCTGTGGGCTTTGGGTCAGGGCTTTTAGCCAAACAAATACGCTTAGGGTAGATAGAGGGATGGTGAGCCTTAAGGGTAAGGATAATCTAGGTTGTTACTATCATTTGACATCAGTTTATGGTTGCATTACCTCATCTTCCAAACAGTGAAAAAAGTTCACACTTGTGTGATTTTCTCATTCATCTGGGTTATCTTTATTCTCACTAAATAGTAATTGAGTATTTTTTGGTCTGGGAGCCCTCTAATACCTCAATTATTATTGTAACTTCACTGTATACGGCTGTGACATGCTGATCCACACTCCCAAGTAGAGCAAAACTTCAGAGAGAGAGATATACGGTATAGAGCTTTAAAAATCAGGGCAGATGATGTGAAGAGCACCTTTAAGAACACATTTTAATGTTTTTTAAAAATATGATTCAGTCACATATTCTGGCAAATAAACATTTGATCATCAATATTCATGTTTTGCTTCTTTTTTTTTTTTTTTGCCTGGATTTCTACGTGTTATTGAAAGGTATACATTGTTCAGCAGGTAAAGTAGAACAAGCAGCCTCTTATAGGATAACAGGACTGGGTTGCTATAAATCTAAATTGATCAAACATAAATACTAAAAAAGTCAGTGTGCATGCACTGTCACAAGAAATTATGTTTCCATTCATGTGTTTTACTGTCCTTTTATCAATACCAGGTGATCTGTGTTCCCAGTACAGCCCTATTCATTCCCAGGAACTTTAAATTCATCAAATGGATCTAATTATTCTGTGATATTATTTGATCTAGTGAAAGACTTTGTTTGTTTGAACTACAGAATCAAATTTTCACAGTAGAAAGTTTAATTTAAAACAATCCAAGTCCCAAGAGCTTAATGTTTGGGTATTTTATGCCCAAGGTGTGACAACATGTAAATTCAAATTGTATCTCAGTAGATTAAGTGCTAAAAAAAAACACAATATTTTGCGGCATTCTTTCTGGCGGTCTGAGAACCCAAAGCTCGCCGAACCCAGGAAAAAAATCCTTAAAAAGTACTCGAGAGATATAAAAGGGAATCTCCCCTCCTGTGTGTGCTTGGTCCACCGGTGGCTTTGCTGGAGTGATACAACTTATTAAGGTCCAGGCGGAAACACCATTTGTTAAAGGAAAGCTCTGTATTTACACCTTGAAGCTCTCTCTACAGCTTTTTCCCTGAAAAGAGATCACCTGGGAAAAACTCTTTAAATAACACTTCATAATATATACGCATTAAATAACTGGGAGACAACAGATTTTGATAGAAATTGTAATCTTACTCAGATTAGAGAAGTTGCTTAGGGTTACAGAAGGCAGCGCTTACCAACTTGGCTCACATCTTATGAAGTGGGCCTCAATAAACAGTTAGAGAAACATTTCATACATCTCCAGTCTGCCTCATCATCACATCATAACATCATTACATCATACACGTTAGGAGACATCCATGGCTCCAGCCATATCAACATATTACACTTTGTTTTTAGCTGAAGGACACTGCTCTCATGCCATTCCCAACTCTTTGCCACTTACAGAATAAAGATTATAACTGTAATCTGTATCTGGACAGAGGAACTGTCCTAATTAGATAAACTACTGGGGAGAACTGTCATGATCGGTACACGAATGTGACCCAATTATGCAGAACACCACGAGGCAGGAAACAGTTGAAAAGTTCACAGAGTTTATTGAATACAATTTCAGAGGTAATGTGTTCAGGTTCTGGTCCTGGGAAAAACGGGTTCACCGGAGTCTGTGAGGAAGACAGTTTAGTTAGTTGGGTTCTTAGAGGACTGTCCTTAGATAGTTTCTGGTTTGTACCTTGAGGGTCCTTGAATAGCACTTGGAGAGGAAGGTTGTTGGAACTGGAGAGAGTCTGGTTAGCAGAGTCCGTTAGCTGCTTCAGCGTCTTGCTTCTAGGAAGGTAGCAGACCTTGACTTTGGGTTTCCAGCTCTTGGTCCAGAGCTGCATGTGAATCCAGAGGTAATCTTCAGGTTTGGCTCAGAGGGCAGGCTCGGCAGGTTAAGCTCTTCCAGAGCTTCGCAAGGGAAGATCAGGTTTTCCTGGAAAGACAGAGACAAGATTAGGATCCTGTCAGGATTCAGAGCAAACTAAGTTCTCAGAGGTTCTAGGTTTAGGTTCTAACCAACTGGCTCAACACTGCGGCGTTGAGGCAAGGTCTGAAGACAGCTTAAGTAGAGGGTCCTCCTGATGATGGTAACGAGCAGCAGCTGTGCAGAGGGCTCTGCTCAGGAGGATCCACGGCGGACTCTGCTGGAGAAGAGAGGTACTTCTCCAGCTTCCAACAGTACCCCCCCCTCAACGACCGCCCCTTGGCGGTCCGGAGGAAGTAGATGGGCAGGAACGCTCGTACTCCTCGATCAGGGAAGGATCGAGGATGTAAGAGCCGGGAACCCACTGACGGTCTTCAGGTCCGTAGCCCTCCCAGTCGACGAGGTACTGCCAGCCGCGACCTCGCCGACGGGAGTCCACGATGCGACGGACGGTGAACGCAGGGTGGCCATCGACTTCCAGGGCGGGTGGTGGGGAGTCGGATGGCGGGCACAGAGGGCTAGAGACTACGGGCTTGACCTGAGAGACATGAAAGGTGGGGTGGATGCGTAGACTCGGAGGTAACTGGAGACGGACTGCGGAGGGACTGATAACCTGGGAAATCTTAAATGGACCGATGAATCTGGGAGACAGTTTCCGAGACATTCCCTTGAGGGGAATGTCTCGGGTAGACAGCCATACCTCCTGTCCGATGGCGTACTCGGGAGCGGGACGTCTCTTGGAGTCGGCAAAACGTT